GCAGAAATCTTTTGAGGTTACAAAAGTCACATTGGAATGAGAGTCTTCGGAGGAGCCTCTGTTTCACCCAGAATTACTCTAGGGGAGTTCCAACCTGAATGGGAAGTCAAATGCCTTCTGAAAAAGTAAATTTGGCATCTCTGACAGGTTGGCTGGAAAGCTTCTGTTATCATCAGCACTAGGGTAGTGCACTGGCTACACTGCCCAGTGCCCTACCAGACTGTGGCTGGCCTCTATCCTGAGGCAATTCAGTGGGTATTAAACATGATCAGGGATCTGGGTGTTCTGTTCACTGTGGAAAAATGTGGAATTTCTCATTTCATAGATTTCATAGACATTAGGGCTGGAAGGGACATCATAAGATCATCAGGTCCAGCCCCCTTCCCTAGGGGCAGGAAGTCAGCTAGGGTCAAAGGATCTTAGCAAGATAAGTGTCCAAATATTTTTTGAAAGTGTCCATAGTAGGTGCTTGCAGCACCTCTAGGGGGAGTCTGTTCCAGGCCTTGGGGGCTCAGACAGTAAATAAGTTTTTCCTTATGTCCAGCCTAAGATGGTCTTGCAGGAGTTTGTGATCATTAGACCTTGTCATCCCCTGGGGTGCTCTGGTGAACAGGTGTTCCCCCAGATCCTGATGTACTTATAGGCTGCCACCAGGTCACCCCTGAGCCTGCACTTCTCCAGGCTGAAGAGAACCATAGCTCGCAGCCTCTCTTCATAAGGCCTGCTCTCTTGCCCGCTGATCATGCACTTGGCTCTCCTCTGGACTCTTTCCAGCTTTTCCACATCCTTCCTGAATTGTGGAGCCCAGAACTGGATGCAGGATTATTGGCGAAAAATGCAGTTTTTCTATTTTAAAGGAGAAAATAATGGATTTTCCCTTTTAAAGGAGAAAAGGTAGGAAACCATGGGTTTTCCTTTGCAGGCTGGCCAAGTTTCAGCTTGCAAGGGGCTGCTTGGGGCTGTGGGGAATGGAAGGAGGGTGATCAGAAGCACGGGGTGTCACATGCATGCGCATAGGTGACTCATAGGGTAGGTACCAGGGGGCACATGCCCCCCCCCCGAGATTGGCTGCTGCCACCGCTGGCTTCTGCGGGCAGTTGCTGATTGCTGCTCACAAACCTCCCCTCACCCCCCCCACCACTGATGCTGGTTTCTGTGGGTGGTTGCCACTCACCATCCTTCTGCCAATGCCACTGACACTGCAGCCCACAAATTGTGCCCCCCCATCTCGGGAGGCACCAGTCATTCATGTGCATGCGCACATACATATAACAGCCAGGTAGTGTGGAGACCTGCTCCCGCAGCTTCCTCCAGGTAAGTCTATGGGGGGAAGGGCACAAGCCATGCGTTGGGTGGGAGTAAGGGGCACAGGCAGCACGTTGAGGGGGCAGGGGGGGCACAGGCAATGTGGTGGGGGAGGGGCACATGACCCCTGAGATTTCTGCACCCACAGAGGTGTGCGGGGCTGCAGCTGGGCCAGACAACTCCGGGCAGAAGCTGCCTCTGCAGCCATGGCTGCCAAGGTAAGGCAACCCCTGCCCACCTCGCAGCAAGGGGGGGCACAACTCCATGCTGCTGCTGCCATTTCTGCACCTTACCATGGCAGTGTGGCACTTTCTCCAGTGCCCCCCTCCTCCCACTCCACTGGGCCACAGAGGTGGCTCCTACCTGTTGCTGGTCTGGTCTCACTGAAGGCCTGCACCCTGCAGTCCTGTGACCCACTGTGGGCACAGAAGTCTTGTGGGGTACATGCCCCCCTCACTGCATTGCCTATGTGCCCCCACGTTCCCCACACACTCACTCTCTTCCTCATACACTGTGGGTAGGGAACAGTGGGTTGGGAGTGAAGGGCACCAGCAGAGCCAGGGAGCTATGGGTCAGGAATGAGGGGCACAAGCAGGGCTGGGGGGGCAGTGGCTTGGAGTGAGAGGTAATGGCATGGGCTGAAGCAGTGCACTGGCATATCAGGGCTGCTCAGGGCCAGAAAGCAGTGGGGACGACGGCCACAGCTGGAGCCATGTCCTGGTGAGTGAAGGGGCAGGGGGAGTTTTGATTTTCCATGATAGAAAACCCGAAATCAAACACCAAAATTTATAGGTATTTGGAATTTATTTTATTAAAGTGATGGTGGCCCTGATCGGCTTCCAAATAGCTTTAAAATTGTAACTATATCAATAAAACATTGTGTTCAACTGCTACCTATATATTGGTATAATATACCAATTTTTCTGTTTAAAAATTGCAAATTCTCCAATTAAAAAACCCAAAATCTATGTTTTTCTGTGATTAATATGAAACAGCACTATATAAAAACATGGACAGAAAAACATGGACTTTGGGTTTTTTAATCAGAGAATTTGCAATTTTTAAACAGAGAAAACCAGTATGCATATATAATAACAGGACTGCAATATTCAAATTAGGACTTTCTAGGTCTCTGACTGTTGGAAACTATGAGGGCACAGGGACAGGAGACAGATTAGTTTGCATAGACCCTGCATAAATACTTTTCCTCTTAGCATCTGCTCTGTGTCACTGTGAGATACAGAATACAAGATGGACTTGTGGTCTGATCTAGTATGGCATGACTTATGTTTACAAAGAGGAGAATCAGCTGAATCCTCTAAGCACCTATACAGGGCCAGCCATCATCTTGTGTTTAACTAGAACAGGGGTTTTCAACCTTTTTCAAACACTGTACCCCCAGGCGGCTGGATGTGGAGCAGTGTACCCCCAGCCACCAAACAGGGAGGGGGAGGAGGGGCGGGGCATGTGGCAGGATGCCAAGTGGG